TATATATATATATATATATATTTTTATATTTGGTGCCATTATCTTTGTCAGGTTTGGCTGTCAGGATTCCTTGGTCTTTTTATCACTGAACAGTTTACACAGTACAAATGTTACTTGATTCTTAATGGATTCTTAAAATCCATTTTTAAACTTCAAACAGTGAGGTTTTAAATAAAATACTCTAGTTCTGAGTTGCAGCACTAACTGGCTTAGAAAATACCAGCAATTAATGTTTGATTGGTAGCCAATATTTCAATTAAAAGAATATACATCACATTAAATAAATTTCCTTCAGATCAGACATTTAACTACAAAAACTCCACATGCATTACACTGGACTCCCAGAAGAGTGATTCCTGTTAGAATATAAACAAAATCTAGTAAGATTAAATTAGTTTCAAAACTTACAGCACTAGAGAAAGTCATTCCCATCTCTCCAATGAGGGCCTTGGTTTTCTTCAGTGGTGTCTGTAAAGTAATTACTCATTAAACAATTTCTTCTGGTAAGGTAAGACACAGATCAAAACTAATGTTTTGTTACATCTTAATCATTTATTCCCAATAGTTAGCTCTGACACTAAGCAGTAGTAAGAGAGTCATATGATTCTGGAGCTGAACTAAACAGGTTTGGTTAGTCAGGTGTATCCTGTACAAAAGTGCAGGGGTTCATAATGCAAACAAGGAGGGAAAGTTCACAGCTGATAGCACTATTCCATCAATGCCGATGTGTGTAAGGAAATTTTGGTGCCTGTGTCTGTCACCAGCCTCAAGGTAGATAGAGCAATTCTCTATGAATTGTTAGAAGTAGGTTGCAGGAAACAGTATGAAAGAAGTCTTACACTCTTTAAAAGAGAACAAAGACAACACTTAGATTCAAAGGGTCAGGCAAGGCCCTCAGGCTCAGAGACTGCCTCAAATCTCACACCCTCAGTGGTGAGGCCCCTAGGTGCCCTTTCAACCACCAGCTCACTGCCCCCTGCACAAGACTAGTCACAACCCTGCAGTGGAAAGCACTTGAACCAAGTGGCAGGGAGGTATATACAGAATCCTGTCTAGCAGAAGGCTGATCAGAAATTGCTTTATTTATAGCCTTCATTTTTCCTTTTGTGCAAAAATCTAACATTCTGACATGAACAATTAGTTCATCCAAGAGTGAGGATAAGGGTATGAAGATAATTTACTTTTCAAATGCAAATAAAAGAACACAAATAATCTTTATTCAAAATGCAGCAAAGAGGCTCGTAATAGTTGTATGAGGCAGTTTATGACGTTTCTAAATTACCTTTGAAACCTAAGACCATATTGAATGAAGTCTTATGTGCATTTTGCATAATAATAAAGATGGACATTCTGAATACATTCCAAATATGTAACTTGGTTAACAAGACCCATTCTTCAGCAACGTATAATTGACTTTTCCCTCATTGACTTATAGACAGTAGAAAACCTAAATATCCCATAATCTTAAAAGGATGAGAATTCTAATTTTATTCAAGACAAGTTTTGATAACTTCATGAGTCGATCCTTAACAGAATCTCAGAAAAGATTACTGCTATAGAGTTATCTGTGCTACTCTTCAGAAGTGATGTCACCAGTTCTTCTCTAATCATTGCGTGTTATACTCGAGAAAAGAATAGTGGGCTGAAACAAAACTGGCTTGATGAAGAATTCAAGTTACTATTAGCACACTGGGAGGGGAAATGAGAATGTAAAGTGTAAGTGGGGAGAAGGACCACATGAATTGATTGAGAGGGACTTATCAAATTAATATGCAAAACTATTGAACAAAACTTGATTCATAAGAATATACTGTATGTTTATAACATATTTATTAAATGTGTGCCAGGCAGTGATCTAGGTAATGGTGGACAAAACATACAAGGTCCTGCCCTCAGATACTCCCAAGGGTCTAAATAACAGATAATCACTCAGGTAGTGACGAGTGCTAATAAGTGAACAGACGAGGACAATGTGATATACCCGAGGGAGAGAAAGAGGAAAACTACTTTAGATGGATGTCAGCAAAGGCCTCTCTCAGGAGGAAACCTTGCTGCTTAGAGCTCCATGATGAGGAGTCAGTCATGTGGAAATCCAGGAGAGGAAGCTTCCAGGCTAAATGGCAAGCACAAAGGCGGCCAGTGTGATAGAAGCACCCCAAGGGGTAAAAGGGAAAAAGGAATAAAAACAGGTAAGAGGTAGGCAGCAGCCAGAAACGATGCAGGGTGGCACAGGAGTTACTATTACTATCTATGTTTCATTGAACAAGTCCCAAACAAGAGACCACCCACACCAGGCAAAAAATATGTATGGGCGTGCTAATCTGGACAGACAGAGGTTGGTCAGGTGAAGGCCATATGAGAGTGTTAAGGGGCTGATTTTTACTCTCACATGCACAAACATGTTACTCTACTTATCCCAAGTAAAATCCTTTCCATAAAAACCCTAAGGAGTCGTTTACATTCTGGTTCCATGAATAGCTACTCAAATACTTTTGACAATTCTGATAAGTTAAATTCTATGGCTAACTTTTAACAATGGAAATCACTTTGCTTTAAGCAAAGTAAGGACACATGTATATATTCTTTGCCTCCATTTCCTCACACTCCTTCCCTGTATTCCTTTCACTTTTTCCTAGAGTGAAATGATTAAGAAGAGCAACTTGTGCTTCTGTGAAGAACAGCATGCCCATTTCAGCATAATTATGTTTAAGTTCAATCAAGAAATAGAACAATTTCCTGGGAAAATTAGTAAAAGCAGAGTCACACAAATGCTATAAATTTTTTTGACCTGAATTGGTGTGGGAGTATTGATCACTGCTTATTTTGCCAAGTGACAGCAACTTGTAACCTTTCTTAGGTCAGAGAAATCTCTCCACAAAAATGAATGTACCATATGCAAAGTTTCATATGTAAATTAAGGAGTGCAGTGATCCCACTGATATTCCAGAATGTCACCTAAAAGAATCTCTGATGTACGGTATTCGTAACTATGCTGATGTGGGTTAGATGATACCTGACATCAGAATTACTACAGAATTCTAGTGAAGGAGAAAAGCCATGGTGCTCTGGGAACATAAAGAAACCCCAGCTTTGTCCCTCATATGAACCTTAGCCAAGTTACTTAACCACGTCTAAGTTTTAGTTTTCTCTTCTTCAAGATAAGGACAGTATCTACAGCACAGGACTCCTGTGAGAATTGAAGTTCAAGTACAAAACACCTGATACTCTCTGCTTGGCCCCAATAGGCCCTCAAATGTCCTTACTGCCTTAGCAATTAGTGGTAGGATATTTTGAATAAGGCTGGAACAAGTCAGAATTCTCTGATGAGTTGAGAGCATTACATCTGACTCATTCCCTCATCTTGATTTTGTCTCCTCTCTCCACCATAAACACCTATTTTAGAAAAAAAGAACCTGCTACTGGTTTAGTAAAACAAATTGGGTGCTTGCTTTGGCAGCACATACACTAAAGAGAAGATTAGCCTGGCCCTGTGCAATGATGACATGCAAATTTGTAAAGGGTTCCATATTCTAAAAAACATGGTTTAAAATGACAAGAAAGAGACCTCAGATACAGACAGCTGTGGTCAGTAAGAATGAAAGACACTGCACTGGGAACATCTTATATTAAAGTAATGAATTTTGTGTTCAATAGATATTTAAGCTTGTCCTTTTAACTAATTCAGTCACTGACAGTAATAGCTTGGTTTTTCTAGACAACATTCTTCAAGAAAACAAATTTAAAAAAATTTTTATAAGCAGAAGGAGAAGTGTAGCAGTTGGAATAATTGCGAAGCCAAAGTAAAACCTAGGAGGGAAATTATGTCAAGACTCTTGATGTCAACATGGCTAGGTAGAAACTAAGTCAATGAGGCCTACATGGAAGGAAGAAGTGTGAAGTTAAAATAACCATGCAAGAAAAGATTCCCATACTCTTGAGGACACTAAGTACAAAGTATATTTTACTTTGCAACCCAGAAATGTAACACACACACACACTTTCCATTCTTTTCTATTCCACAGGAAAACAACAATGTTGATAGCTACACACTAAACTTATTTCACAACTCATTTATGGATTGGGACCATAAGTTTGAAGGACACTGAACTAAGATGTTACCAGACAGGAAAAGTTAGGAACCTCCTGCCTGAATGCTTCAGTGGTCAGCTGAAAAGCAAAAGGAGAACTGAAAGAAGAAAGTAATAAAGAATTTGTTTGACTAAAGCAGATACCTTAAAATCAACTGA